ACTCCCAGTAATTTTCTTTTCCTAAATTTTTAGTAGAGATGAGATCTCCCTATGTTACCTAAGCTAGTCTTGGACTCCTGGCCTCAAGTGATCCTCCCACCTCAGTCTCCCAAAGTGCTAGGATTACAGGCATGAGCCATCACACCTGACCCCCATATCTATATTTTAATAATGCTGAGGAAATACTATAATTTAGGTTGCCATTTTGCTCACTACTGTTTTACTTTATCAATTCTTTACTTTCTACATTACTATTAACCCACACAGGTCTTTCCCCTTATCTCAACTTCAATTGCCCTTAAAATGGGTATCACAGCATTCAACACTTATGGTTAATTATTTTATCTATTTTAGTTTTTTGCTCCTCAATTAGATTATGATCTTGAAGACAAAGTTGTACATGCTGGAATGTATATAATACCTTACATGTGGCATATAATCAATGCATACAAAATATAGGAAACATGATAATGATTAATACATAGTTATTACAATGTTCCAGGCACTATTCTAAGGCAATCCATCTGTTGACTCATTGAATCCTCAAAACAAGTACAATTGTTATCATTCTTCTAAGGAAGAAATGGAAGGCACAGTTAAGGAATCCACTTACTACAGAGATACTGAAATTCCACCCAAGCAACTTGGTCCCAAAATCTGGGCTTCTAATCCCTTTCCTTACTAAAAATGCAATAAACAAAGCTAATTGGTTGAAACTTTTTAATCCTTTTCAATATTTACCTAAAACTCTCAAAAAGATGTGAAAGTTTGCTGATTATATCCAGCAAAAATATCCATATTATTTCTTATATTGTTTTTAGCCCTGTGCTTGGAGTAAACTGAAACAAAGTTACACATCCATCACTACTGAATATTTTAGAAGCCAGCGTATTTTTTTTTTTTTTTTTTTTTTAACCACTGAGGACCTTTTCAGTGGAAAAGAAAACTCAACAATATAATTATTTTGACTGGATGTTGGATATCCTTTAATAAATTTATTTGGGAAAATGTTTACTAAACATCTAGTATAGGTTTAGGCTAAGTGTTGAGCTAGAGGCATCATGCTCCCTGCCAACCAGGGGCTCACAGAGGTTCACAGTAGCAGAGAGAAAGAGATAAGTAAGTAAATAATTATAGCAAAGTATTAATTGCTCAAAATCAAGTCAACCCCTACCTAAACAAGAAGTTCAAAAATCTGTCTACAGTAGACCAAAATAATGCAAGTCATGTTCATTTCTGACCACTAGCACTAAAGGATTTTCCATACTTTAGGTAAGAAAGGGGATATTGCAGAAAACCCCAAATATGAATAAAATACCTGTTTTCAGCATATAGAATAATATAAGTGGGTAAGGACACATATACCACATGAGACTGCTGGCTGACCTTCTCTCTTAGGATCTTTTCAAAATTTACCAGTTATATATACTATTCCATCTCAGCCAACTCTAATGTTGGAAAATAATCTGGTAAGTCAATCCCCCCTAAGATATTAATGGTTTGTATTCAAAGACATTTTACGGAGGGGATTTGCACACTAATAGGCCACTCTTAAAAATAAAAGCCTTAATTCACTATTACAGATCACTGGTTTTAGAGTACTAAGCATTGTATGACTTTTATCTCTCACTATGAATGTTCTATCCTGATTTGTTCATGTTGAAATATGAAAGCCTTCATCAACTCCACTCATCTTGGACAAGATGTAACGCAGGTCCAAGCCACATGCACTTAGAAACAATTCACTTAGCAGATTATAATTTTTTTTTTTTTTTTTTTTTTTGAGACAGAGTGTTGCTCTTGTTACCCAGGATGGAGTGCAATGGCGCGATCTTGGCTCACTGCAACCTCTGCCTCCTGGGTTCAAGCAATTCTCCTGCCTCAGCCTCCTGAGTAGCTGGGACTACAGGCACGTGCCACCATGCCCAGCTAATTTTTTGTATTTTTAGTAGAGACGGGGTTTCATCATGTTGACCAGGATGGTCTCGATCTCTCGACCTCGTGATCCACCTGCCTTGGCCTCCCAAAGTGCTGAGATTACAGGCCTGAGCCACCGCGCCCGGCCAGCAGATTATAATTTTTAATCTAAATTTTTGTGATACAGAATTCATAATAACAAAAACAATAATCACTTTATGTGAAACTAATAACATTAGAAATTGTAGTGATCATGGGGAAATAACTAGTTATTTTTTTAATGCCCTGGGCCCTAATTATGTTTTCTGGTTTTCCTTTTCATAAGACAACTCAGGATCACAATAAGACAACTTTAAAAAAGTAATAATATATTCACACACCTTAACTAAGTATAACCCTTGCATATACTGACGTTTCAACCTTTCACAGCAAAATCCCTGCCTAGCAGCAAACAGATTGTAATTCATACAACTGCTGCTAAGAAGAAAAACTAATAAACCCAAGAAGAAATTAATGGAGTATAAAACATCTTTTGATTTATAGAACAGAATTTTTCACATAACCCTGAAATTTGGAGGTGTACCAGCAGTAGTTTTGCAAATCACCTAAAGCCAGGGATTACCTAGACACCCTCTCCTAGTACCAAGCAGAGAGAAACTTTACACTTGCCAAAGCCTAGCCAGCTGGAATTCTGGGACCTGAGCCCAAGGGTGAGTTACGTTGGTGAGAGTTCTTAAAACAGGAATGGGAAGAAACCAAAAACAACTTCCTAGCAAAATCAGCATTGAAAAATGGTCTCCACCACACATCAGGAAAGATGTTGAGGTGGCCCCCAGAATATAAAGACCAGAGCAAGGAAGATGTGTTGGAAAAAAAAAAATATGGAAATTCCCTTACTTGCCTCTTAAAAGAGCACTCATAGCTTCATTGGGTGGGGCAGAGAAAGCAAAGACAGAGCAGATTTAAACAGAGGAAACTGGCTGGCCATGGTGGCTCACGCCTATAATCCCAGCACTTCAGGAGGCTGAGGTGGGCAGATCACTTGAGGTCAGAGTTCAAGACCAGCCTGGCCAATATAGTGAAATCCCATCTCTAATCATAATACAAAACTTAGCTGGGTGTGGTGGCATGTACCTGTAATCCCAGGTATCCGGGAGGCTGAGGCATGAGAATGCCTCATTCTCATGGGAGGCGGAGGTTGCCATGAGCCAAGATCATACCACTGCACTCCAGCCTGGGCAACACAGCGAAACTGTGTTTCAGAATAAAATAAAATAGATAAACAGAGAAAACCATTCTTACAGTGTGCACTTTAAGAAAAAAAAATGTTATCAAATTAAGCTAAGGGTTCACACTGGTGAGTGAAGGACAGGAAGCCGAAAGAGATAGAGTGAATCGTAAATTTCTCTCAATTCTGTTCACAGATTTCATTTCCCAAAGTGACAAATTATTCTGGTTTCGCTAGACTTAATCCCAAACTCAAAACTTCATTTCATTAAAATAGCAACACCTAACATTCTCTGAGGCTATTTCAGACTGTTTTAAACCTTCAGCAAAGCTCTTTTAATAGTTTCAAACAAATTACACATCAAAACAGCTATCAAGGCTGCCTGTCAATGAAACTAATTACATGACACAAAAGGACCTAAAAACCTTAGCAAATCAGATGTTTATTCAAATATAAAAGCTTTTCCCCACTAAAATACTTAAAAGAATGTATGATGTGGAAATAACATATAAAATATCCTTTTAGATAGTTTGCCTTGCCTTGTTTAACACACTCATATTTGTGAAAAAAATTTACTTCTGGAAGTTGCGTAATCATCAAAATGAATGCTTTAACAAATCTCTTTTTTCCTTTCTACCACTCACTGCATGTTGTAACATGATTTCTGATATTGTGAACTGGAGCTGCTATTTTTGAAACCACAAAGATCTGTTTGGCATCACCCATGTGAGATTTGCCCTGCTGAAGAGCCTTCCACTCTCCTCCCAGCACTTCAGTTTGATGGAAGAGCCTTTAACCCTTCCCACTTCAGAATGCATTCTGATGTCTGACTTGTTCCTATCACGATGAAGACCATAGTCTTACTTATTTTAGAAAAGTATTGGTTACATGCTAACAAAATTGCAATACGAATCAGGAAGAATACTTACAACCTATGTTACTAGACTTTTTTCTACCTAAGAATTAGATAAACTCTAAATTCACATTAAGTTCACTATCTCTAACACTGATGCAGGGTTTTTCTTCTTGGTCACTTTACAAGCTGGGGACCCCTGGCCAGTGACACTCCAGCTGCGCCTTGCTCAGCCACGCTGCCATGCCCTAGCTCACCTGTGTTATAGCTTGTACCTGAATTCGGCAGTTCCCAAGCTGTGGTACCACACCCAAGAAGAGTGAGGATATGCTGGACATTGATGGATAAGGAGGGCAGAGAAAACTTGACTGAGCAACAGAAGCAGCTTTCAGTGGAGAGGGGATGCATGATTGGTCCCCCTGCCCAAAGGTGGGAAAGTTCCCCCAAGTGGCTAGATCTGGGGCCTTTTATGGACTCAGAATGGGGAGCGCATGCTGATTGGTTTGTGAGTATGTAAAAAAGGTTAAAGCAAAGACATCACTCAAAGGTGGACATGACAGTGTAGAAAACCAATTAGGAAAGGGTCGGTACATGTAAAATAGGTGGAGAGTGGGGACCAATCAGAGGAAAGTTTGCCAAACAGGAAAACAAGCTCTCAATCCCGCGGGAGGGTTTAACCTGTAGCTTGGCTTTCAGCCTTTAAACTGTCTTTGACTTGGAGATGGGGTTTCACCAGGGACCCACTCCCGTGTGCTCAGGAATTTTGCTGCCTCCTGTCGCTATCAGCACTAACAGATCATTCTACAGTAGTGGCTGCACCATCATAAATATCAAATACATTTTAAAGGCACATTTACCACTATGAAAGTAACACTAAAGAAGAAAAGGCCTTTCAGTCCTTGCACACAGGGGAACAAGGTCGTGAAAAAAAGGTTTTGGTGAGGTGCCGCCATTTCTTCCGTTCTCGGTCTCTGCGCCTTTAGCAGAGCTTCCAGCAGCGCTATGTTGGGCCAGAGCATCCGGAGGTTCACAACCTCTGCGGTCAGTAGGTGCCACTGTGAGGAGGGTCCTGGGAAGAATTTGCCATTTTCACTGAAAAACAAGTGGTGGTTACCAGCCCTGATGTGTTTGTACTTTGGATCTGGATTTGCTGCACCCTTCTTTATAGTAAGACACCAAATGCTTAAAAAAAAAAATAAGGATGTTTCAGCTCATCCATTTAACGGTATGAAGAGCATTTTAAGAGGTGCAGTCTCTGAAAAATGGCTCAAACTCACATGGCATACTAGATATGTGTGTAAATAAAGTTATGACCTGAATGCTTAATGCCTCTTTCCTGAAATAGGGAATGTAATAATTGACCATTTGCCTACTTTATTATCTGGGTAATATTCAAGTATTACTCCTTGTGATTTAGATTATTTAATGATGTTAAACTGAGTGTTATATTAAGGGAAATACAAATTGATCTTAGGTTTTCCTCTTTTTTTTTTTTTTTTTTTGGTCATTAACTTGGAGGAAAGAATACTTTTGCTCTTTACTTTGATATGGTAAAAAAAGTTTTCCCATGATTAATCATTAGGAAAACTATTAGTTTATTCAAATTGAAGTTCTGGTTAATTAGATATTTAAGTGCTTCATTTTTATTTTCTTCTGGGCCTGTGACCTAAAACAGAAATGTTTGCCTCAGTAAGTGTTCTAGTGACCAGTATTCATCTTATTTGGAGTGAATAAAAGAATATTTGAAATTAAAAAAAAAGAAAACAAAATTTATTATGGCTTTATATAGTGAATCTTTCAACAATGACTAATTCTTATTTGGAAATTTTAGGGGTTAGGCACTTTCTCTTCAATCGGTAAGTTTTTCCTCAATGTAACTTGCCTTGAGATGTGAGGATAAATGATTGATAACCTATGTCATTACTGGGCTCAGTGTTTACTGATATTCAACATGTACTAATTGATAATGGGTTTTTTCTCCTCAGTATGTGCTTATGTCTAATATTTTTATTCATCCTTTATCATTAACTTGAAAATAATGATTACAGATAAGTTACATATCCTTCATAGCTTCAAACTCATAAAAAGACAATTTTAGTAGAACACTTGCTGACTTATTAAAAAAAAGAGTATAGGAAGCTTTAAAATTTAATATATTTTTGTATGTTTGTTTGTTTTTTGCAGCCTGCGCGTTGACTTGTGGAGAGTTTATTCTGAAGCCTACACTTAATGATTTGTTTACACCAGTATGGAAGCTTCTCACTGTGGTGTTTTAATGTATGGCCTCAATCAGTACTAAAGACTTGTGAAATAACCTCACCCCTTCTATTCTTTCATGACTCATAAAAGTTTTAAATAAACTGATAGGAGAAGGCAACACTGTTCATGTAACACTTCACATTTTAGAGCCAGTTTTGATATCATAGAAATCATAAAGCAGAGTATCTCTAAACATCTCAGAAATGCCCAAAAAGGTGCAACTTTTCTACTTGGCAAATTGAGCCAGGCATTTACAGGACAATCTTTAAAAAATCAGTTGGATGGTGAAGGGTTAAGCTGACCAAGAATAAACAGACCACTTCTGGTGAAACGGTAGGGAACTACTTTCAACTATAATAGAAGGAAAATAACCGAGCTTTGTGAACAAATTGGAACTGGCACAAGACTTCAAAGCCATCCCTTTTAGTAGTGCTTATACCAACCCAGTACAGCATTACAGTGCTTTAGAATTGAACACCGAAAAGCCAGTATAATTATTTCTACCATTCTCTAAGGTAGTGACTGAGCAAAAGTCAGAAACATTCTTAAAGTCAAAATAAATATAAGCCTGTTTCCACTTTCAAAATAGCCATTACCTTTGGTTGGAAATCATCCCAGCCCAGCTCTGTCTGACACTTACTAAGACTAGACAACCTCCAGGCTTCCTGTAGGCTACTATTGTCCTGTCTTATTAACTTTAAGATCAGCTACGAATTCCAAAACATTTGTGTCTCTTCTATATAGTGCAAGTCCTTTAAGAAAAATCACCTTTTTCAATCCATTGCAGGAACCAAGGCTGTGTAATAGCAGAAGAAAATTGTGCAACAGGAACGAAGATCAGCAGTATATACTAAACAAGCAACTGACTTTGTTAATCCCTTGAAAAATAGTGTCATAGGGGATGTTTTTAAATTAAAGAAGAATTATTTTGCCTTTCTTTTCATTCACTGTTGTGTTTCTTCCTGCAGTATCACTGGAGGCATGTGATTTAAGGACTGTGAAATCAGTGGGAGCAGACTAATATGATATTTAACACAGACAGCTCTGGAGTAAGACAGTCTAGGTTTAAATCCTGGCTATGAGAATTGAGAGAAGGCACATAAAGTTCTTTGCATCATGGCTGGCACACAGTCTGTGCTCAAAAAATAATATTATTATTACTACAAATAGTGCTTCATACAGTTGGATGCTCAATGGATGTTGATTGGATAGATGGATGCTTGTTTGAAATAAAAGGAAACAGTTCCTGTAGGCAAACAGCTCAATTGGTGTAGACAGAAGTCTCTTGTTCAACCTGTCTGCCATTATTTATCTGCCTGTAAAGACTATGAATGTCGAACCAGAAAATACCCAGAAAAACAACAGCTTAGAAAGTCAGCGCAAAAGAACTGGGATAATCAGAGAAGCTAGTTCTTCTAGTTCTGGCTTTAATTTGCTCACATTTTCAATTCACACAGTGTTTTGAAAAGTCAACCCATAAAAATCCTTCAAGACCAGGAGTTTCTCTCCTAGCCTCTGAAGGCATTCAGAACATGTTACCCCAAAATGTGGCATATTGATTATTTTGAGCTAAAATAAATTAAGAACAAGCCAACACAAGGAAAGTTCTTACCTCCCCCATCAAGTACCTAAAATAAGATATAAATTTCCCCTTTCATATAGGAAATGTACATTTATAAGAAGAATTTATCTGTACCAAGAAGAGAGGTACTCTGAGTAAATTTGTCACCTGAGAGACTTACCTACATAACAAGACAAGCTTCATTCACTATAAGCATTTCCTGTGTCACTTACTTTCCCATCATTTACCTCTACCACCATGCAGAAACACCAAACCCTTATTCTACTTCCTTGAGTCTCATATTTTTGTGGGACTCCCAGGTGTATGTATGTAATTAAAATGTTTTTTTCTCCTGTTAATCTGTCTTATAGACCAGCCAAAGAACCTAGGATAGAAGGAAGCAATTTTTCCTCTCCTATACCTCTTAGTGTTAGAGATTTAAAGATCTCCATCTTAAAATCTATTGGGCTGTTAAATAAAACTTAGAAGAGGCCATTGATTCAGGCAGAGCTCCTGCACCAGGCCCACCAGACCAAACCAAAATGCAGTCACTCATGCTGAAGTTCCACACCACCAAGCTGAAACTAAGTTATTTTCCTTCTGAGAAATCAGCAGTGTGAGAGAGATAATAGCCAAATCCCCAAACAGTCCAGGTTATCCTGAACACGATAAGAAAGTCTCCTCTGCTTTATCTTTTACAAGGAAAGGAACTTTGAAATGACCAATACACTTTTTCTCTGTTGCTGCTTTTCCTCGGCCTCTCTCTACCTAAAAACCCAATCTCCTCTGTTCAGTTTATCAGAGCATTTATTCCATTTTATAAGATGAGATGTTGCTCAATTGTAGAATCGTAACTAAAAGCTAATTAAGATCTTTAAACTAAATTTGTTGTAATTTTGGCTTTTGACAGGGCAATAATCATGATATATGTCTCGTTTTCATTTCACAGCACTTGCAAGTAGGAATTATTCTACTTCATTGATTAAGAAATTGAGAGTCATAAAGTTTTGATAATTCATGCAAATTACACACCTACCAAGTGGTAGAGCCAGGACTCAATTCCAGGTCTTAGACTGGGCTTTCATGCTGACTTGACCATCACTTCGACAACAACAAAAAATATATGGAATACCTACTATCTTGTCAGGTGCCATTTGTGTCTAGAAATACAAATGTCAATACTGCCCTCAAACTGTTTATCATCTAATACAAAAGACAGACAAAGACACTCAAAATCCCTCTACTACGTCCTATGCAGTCTGTGAAAACTGCGGATTCCTGGGACCCATCCCAGATACGGTAGCTCTGGGTTAAGCCAGCAATCTGCACTTTTAGCAAGTCTTCCCAGGGTAATTCTCTGAGACAACACCTGGAGAAGGATTATAATGGAGTCAGGTTTAGGAACAGAAATGGAGGTTTCCCGGGAAGATGATTCCTAAATTTGAGTTTTGAAGGATCAGTGGGAGTTGGCTAAGCAGAGTGGCAATAAGAAGAGAACAATTTAGACAGAAAAACAGAATCAATCAAATTTTTGAGAGATGAAACTCACTCAGAAATATAGCCGTTTAATGTAACTAAACTAAAAGGACGTAGAGGAGAAAAGATTTAGAGGAAATAACTACAGACGTAGACAGGGCCTAGATCCCTAGAAGCAAACAGAAAGCCAGGACAGCTGGAGGTGGGCTATGAGCACAGGAACAAAGAGGCCCGACCATGGGTTACTGCCTCCCTCCCATACTCCTCAGAATCTCCGATTGTGCTATACAGAGGCTTGTGTAAGTTTATTCCTGAATAATTAGATTTCCCTTGAAATGGCCTGATCCCATTAAAATGTGTCGCTGAGGAGCATTTGAACCAAGCCAGTAGCAGGCTTCAACATACAAAACATATTTTACTACGAAATGGTGAATCTTCAAATTATGTTTAAGTTAATACAACTTACAAAGCTAACTGAAGTGCAGCAAAGACGAACCCCAATTAGCAGCCCTTAATCTTCTGCTCTTTGCCTTTCCAAATCTGAAGGTATTTCCCCTCAGGTACACTGTGCAATGTAAAATCATTATGCCAATGACCTTGTCCTGCTTAGAGAATTCCTTAATCTAAACCATTGCCAGTATTCCCTGGGCTCCAGGGCTAAGAGCACACCTCTTTAACATGCGTCCTCTTCACTTCACTCGTGGGAATGACGTAGTTCTCCAGAGTCTAGTTGAAGAAAGTGATAGAACAGATTGAATGCATTTAAATGGATAGGGAAAATGACACGAAAACATGCAAACTTGTATAGTGGCATGGTTATTGATTGTTAGGGAAAGAAAAGAAGATTAACCTTTCAAGTCAGGAAGATGGAGAGGCTCAATTCTAGCTGTCTGAGGCAAAGAAACAGTGGGGTTTATCTGCAGCCAGAGTTAGACCTCTCTGTAAGCCAGCTGGGGGTATTCCAACATGCCTTTCCTCCACCAGGAAAGGCTAATGCAAGAGATTCCTTTAAGTAGAATAAATCACCTGGTGGTCAGCTGTTCCTGCATCTTGCACTATTTTATGTGAACAGTTCTTTTTTTTCTTGCAAGACTTTCCTATTTACTGCAAGATGTTTGTCATTCCTACACTAACGCCAACAGTGGCCCCGGTCATTATGACCATCCAAAATAACTCCCACATTTCCAAACCGTCCCTAATGGAGATGCTAGTACCCTCAACCTCACCTTGAGAACCATTGAATAGAATCTTAAATACCTGGCAGGGACCTACAAGCTACATCCCCATTTTGTAGTAAAATGAAATCCATCTTAAACTTTATTAAGTAGGGATAGACCTACAACACAGTTTTCATGACTCTCATGCAAACACTTATTCTCTAAATCTTGAGGCTGCCAAATTCTAAAAAAAAAAAAAAAAAAAAAAAAAAAACTTCTCTGTTTTCCTACTGAAATCTCTCATACCATCTAAAAACTCTCTGTTGAACAAGTAAATGCAAATTTCTGGCAACTTCTCCCTTTGGCAATGTATGCTGTAATACCTTTTTCTCAAACTTAAAGTACTGGCTAGTACTGAGGCCAACAGGAATAAAACTAGGTTTACAGCTGGCAAAAAACCCAGGCATCTTCAGATGGAATGTGTGGGCAAGACTAATGAAAAAAGAAAAATAAATATCTAGACTTACCCTCATGAAACTTCAGAATACCAAGCATAAAACAAGAACTTAGAAACTTCCACAGAGATGAAAAAACAGATTTCTTCAAAGGAATAATAAGCAAATTGGTATCATAATTCTCATCAAAAACACTGGATTATAGTACAGTGGTGCCAATAAACCTGTTTCCTAAAAGGCAAAGAAACCTCTTCCACATTTTGAGGAAAAAAGAAAAAAAAAACTAGAATTCTTTTTCACTCAAAGGAGAAGATAAAATAATTTTTTATACATGCAATAAAAAAGTACCTAACAAATGACTCCCCAAA